CCCCTTTTCTGGGGTGCTGGGGGCTGCTGGATTCAATCTCAGCCTTGCATTACGACAACAGTTTCAGTTTAGAGGAATTACAGAGCTGTGACTGAAACACTTTGTCCCCCCCCAGGTTTTAATGATGGCAAATCAGATCTATTGATAGAAATGAGTTATTTAGGGTTACAAATGATCAGACAAAAGATCTTCATCACAATTATTTACTGCACAGTAGAAACACTAAAACTACCAGGAGTACAGGATAAGATAGGACAGTGCTCTACACTAAAGCAATTGTTGAAGCAATTCTACTCAAGCTGGCACAAAAGCAAGAATTCTTAATTAAAGATGGATGGAACTCCCCCAGACCAAAGCTCCTGGGGAGATCTCTGCTCTCAACCTCCAGAACTGCCCTTGGGGGGGCTTCTCAGCCAAGGCAGGAATCTCCACACACACCCCCAAGAAGGGTTCTGTTGGAAGAATCTGCTCCTGGGAAAGGGGACTGGCCCTTTGTGGTCGAAAGGGATGGACTGACAGTCACTGGACTCCAGGGGTTGCCTCATCATCAGGGGCTTCATTCGGGGTGGAAGCAGCGGCCGAAGCTCTTCCTGCAGTCGAGGCACTCAAAGGGCTTTCCTTACCGGTGGGTCCGCTGGTGTGAGGTCAAGTGACAGCTCTGGGTGAAGCTCTTCCCACACTCCCCACACTTGTAGGGCCTCTCCCTGGTGTGGATGCGCCGGTGCCTGATAAGGTTGGAGTTGTGCTTGAAGCCCTTCCCGCAGTCGGTGCAGCGGAAGGGCCTCTCATCCGTGTGAGTCCGCTGGTGCACGAGGAGACTTGAGCTGGTCTGAAACCTCTTCCCACATTCCAAGCACTTGTAGGGCCGTTCCCCAGTGTGGATGCGCTGGTGGGTGCGGAGGTTGGAGCTCTGGCTAAAGCTCTTCCCACATTCTCCACACGTGTACGGACGTTCCCCAGTGTGTATGTACTGGTGGGTGCGGAGGGTGGAGCTGTCACTGAAGCTCTTCCCACATTCCCCACACATGTAGAGACGTTCCCCAGTGTGGATGCGCTGGTGTCGGATCAGCTTGGAGTTTCGGTTGAAGCTCTTCCCACATTCCCCACATATGTAGAGCTGTTCTCCACTGTGGATGTGCTGGTGGGTGAGAAGGTTGGAGCTGTTACTGAAGCTTTTTCCACATTCCCTGTACATGTAGGGCCATTCTCCGGTGTGTATGTGCTGGTGTGGGATCAGGTGGGAGCTTGTCCTGAAGCTCTTCTCACATTCCAAGCACCTAAAGGGTTTTTGCCTGCTGGGAGGCTGCTCAGGGACCACCAGCTCGGAGCTATGGCTCAAGCTCCGGCCGCCATGGCAACACCCCTCCTGCTCTCCCCCCTCCCTATAGCCCTCCTCTCCCACCCCTTTCCCAGGTCGTTTCCCAGTGTGGATTTGCTGGTGTTGGATCAGGTGGGAGCTCTGCCTGAAGCTCTTCCCACATTCGCCACACGAATAGGGCCGTTCCCCAGTGTGGATGCGACGGTGCTGGATCAGGGTGGAGTTGGTCCTGAAGCTCTTCCCACATTCCCCACACCTGTAGGGACGTTC